AAAGAACCGAAACCCAAAATGAAACAATTTCTTTTAAAAAAAATTCGAGCCTTGCCTTTGTTAAATAAAAACTATAACAGTGTGCTTAAAAGAAGCACTTTCACAGCTAATTATTTACAGGAAACAGTAGGTATTAATTCCAAGATATATTTTCTTGTTATTTAATAAAATAAGTAAAATATAACTCTGAAACACAGGATAAGGATCTTCACAGAACTTTGCTCCTGTCCACAGAATTCTATTCCACATGTCAGTTGAGGAACAGTGAAGGTGAACACATTTGACCAGGTTGCTCCAAGCCCTATCCAACCTGGCCTTGAACACTTCCAGGGATGGGGCATCAGCCACAGTCCCTCATATAGGTAACGCATTTTAGGTGTTACCATAGAGCTGAGAATTAATCCAGCAGCATTAAATTAGATGTTTCGTTTGAATGGATACTGTAAAACTAAGGTTACTTCTGATGACATTTCTAACTTTACCTATTAAAAAGTTAAAGCCTGATTTTGAGGGTTACAATTTTAATAAACTTTTAAGAAAGTTTCATCAAGGTTTTCAAGACTCTTAAACCACAATAAAGTTTCCAGTGTCAAAAACTGTCAAAAACAGTAACCATGTTCATACATTGCACACAAGGAAAGACTCAACATCAATCAAGATCTGCCTCACAGATGTGTTTTGTTTATAACATAAAATAGAATGTTTAGTTTTAAGTGCCTGATTGTGAATTTGCAGCACGGAACAGAGGGCTAAGAAACAGGGCAGAATTCACTTACTTACTTCATTTCACTAAATTAGACTCATCAACATAAACTCCCTCTAAATAAGAAAGAAAATCTCCCCGCAGACAAGTCTTCCTAGTTAAGGTTGTTACTGTTCATTGAAGGTAATTCTGCAAATAAAGTTTAATTCTCTGATGTTTCAAGTGCTGGTTAATTGTCTAAGAATAATTAAAAGATGGAGATTTAAGATCAGATTTTTTTTTTTTTAAAAGGGCTTGAGTATATATCAAGAGAGTTATAAATATGACAGAGGCCTGCCTGAGTCTATGTAAATATGAATGAGGCCTGAGTCTAAGACTCGCTAAAAAAAACCCTCAGTAATAAATACTTTCATAGTTTAAGTCCCAGAAAACAAATTCTACATTAAAGTGTTCATTATTTAAAGAATCTTATTATAAGAGACAAAGCAAAGTAGTAAAACACCAACACAAGTTTCAATTTATTTCTGAACTTTGTGTTTTGGAATAAACTGATCCATGTTTTAGTTTTGAACTGATACTTTTCCCAAATATTCCATAATATTCTGGACTGATTTATTTTGGTGAATTGAGTAGGGTTTGGAAAGTTGTTCTCTTTTCTTTCCCTGTCATTATTGCCATCTTGGTGGGGTATATTCCTGTCACATCCCAGGCAGAAGGAGGTTTTATCTTTGCCTTCTCAATCTATCAGAGCCATACCTAGACTCTGACTCACCTGGAGATCCAAAAAGGCATGGGACAAACATTATGTTTATCTTTTTTCTTGGAAAACAAACACAGTGAAAAATAAATACAGAATACACTGCAGAATCCTAGTGGAGTTTTGGTGGTGTGTTTTTTTTTTTTTTTCATGGACATGCACTTGCAAAGGAATACCATGGCTTGTCTAGACTGATCTCCCTCATACTTCATAAGAAGACTTAACTGCAGAAAAAAAGAAATAGCTAATATCCCAAACTGGATGCCTAGTCAAATATATAAAAGACTAAAATTAGTAAGAGGAGTGGCAAAGCTGATAAATCATTGGCCTATCAGCTTGAAAATGAATGCTTGGTTGAAGAGGATTGATGTGAAGGACAATTAAAAGATGGTGATAAGCTTCCTTCTCTGGGGATAGGGCAGCTCAGTTTGACATGTTGCACTGACCATGGAAACCATGGAGGTGGTAGATAACACACATCGAATGCAGGACTGCTCAGATAAGTTTAGTCGGCTAATGGTGTGCCAAGAGGTTGACAAATCACTCTACAAAACAATCTCTCTCCTCCATTGTGGTGGACGAAGCCAACAAGCGGCTCCTTTACAGGAGCTCTGGAGGATAATCAACATAAATTCCCCCCAAAAGCAATAGAAACCTGTTAGACTCACTGATCACCACCAGTTTCCTTCTAAGTAGGGCATAGTACATATAAATGGTGTCTGGGAACATACAGACACCACACGTGGAAATAACATATTTCTCATTTGGGAAAAGACACTTTCTGTGTACATGTGTAGGTAGGGTATACATCATATGGCATGGATGACATACAAGAACTATACTTCATATTCTCATTTTTGCTAAAAGTGATGACTCATCTTAGATCTAAAACCATCCCACAGTCTCTTCTTCACCCTTTCCCATGCATGTAGCCCCGTATATGAAACTGTATCAGGAATTCCTTGACATCTTTCTAGAGTTGGGAATGATGCACAGAGTCTTATCCATATAAAAGTAGCAAAGAGAAAGTGTCTCCTGGACTGGAATAGGTAGATTTCTGCTAGCACTTAGGCTTTCAGGAAGGAATGATAAACTTCTTAAATTAGTTTCTTAAATATTGGAGTTTTCAGCACCAGAATCTGTTTACTTATGAGTGCAACTCCATTTATGGGATGCATAGAATAAGCGAGGCCATCACTCTACTCAAACCACCCACTTCAAAAACAAAATAATTACTGGAGACTTTTACAGGACTTTTATGTGGAGAAGGTTTTTTTTTTTGTTCCTGTGGATAAGCAGTTTGTGTTTGCAGCTGATATCTCTCAGACTGGAAAGCAGGCTGGACTGCAGCAAGAGTAGAACTATTCACTGTGTCACAGTTTCATATTTTCAGAGGCAGAAGATACTTGAAGACGTGAAGCTCCATGGATTTAGCATATAGCAAATGGACTTCTGGCACATACGTGTGCAAATCCATTTCAGACAGATATGGTTAGTTTGCTACTCAGATAATAGGATTTTGCAGCACTTTGGGTGAAAGTAGAGAATTGAATTTTCAAAAGCAGAGAAATCAAGTTTCAAGGTTGTAACAGAAGTTAATTTAGTCTGACCTTTTGCATGAGAAGAGTTTATACATATTTATTCTTTATGCTTTTATCCTATGAGGGGAAGGCATGACTCATCTGCACATTTAAAGCAGTCTGTTTAACACTGATTAAACTGTTTCATAAGTATTTTTATTCACTGCATGGGTTTCTCTTAGGGAAGTGCATATGTATTATACAGTCTCACTAAAATAGAGAAGAAACAGCAGCTGCTGTGCCCAAAGTAAAGGTTAACTCATAGGGGGCTGCAAGCTGGGAGGTTGAAATTGTAGCGATATAGAAGAGCTCCAGCTCTTTGGATTAGAGCCTCAGTCAGGAAGAGGATGTGATGAGTGCCAACAGCCACTGAGGCCCTGCTGAACAGGAAAAAGGAACCTGTTTGCAGTAGAGTTACCATCCAAGGGAGTTTGCCAGTGCCTGGAGCCTCCTAAACCCAGTTCAACACTGAGAAATTGGACAGGGCCCAGCAAAGGATTACCAAGACAGTGAGGGGTCTAAGCACACAGCTTCTGAGTTTCCTCAGAAGGCTGAGTTAGGCTTATCTAGTCCAGCAGAAATTATGCCAAATGACAAAGAGATGTCTGAATGTATGGAAAAGGGAGTTTCAAGTACTCCAGAAGCAAGACTGCATCCTTCACAGAACAAAAAGTTGGGATAAGAAAAGGTAACAGAAAGGAACTGCAGCTCAGAAACTTCAAATTGGATTTTATTTTTCCCCCCTTCCCTAGGAGTGATGTACAGCTGCTCAAAAGGTAGTCCAGAGGAGGTGTAGTATATTCATCACCAGATGTTTTCAAGACTCAGCAGGACAAAGTCAGGGCTGACCTTTCCATGATGCTCATGATAGTCCTGCTTTGAACAGGAATTAGGCTGTGACATTGCCAACTGTTCCTTCTGAAACAAAATATTCTGTCATCTGTAACATGTCTGGATAGGTGTATAACAGTCCTCATAAAGGGCTGAGAAAACTGACTGGAATGAATGTGAGAGCATGATGTCCCCCTCCTGGA